GGCAGATACATTTTAAAAATGAACTGCGAAAGCAATGCCTATAGCTTATAATTATGATACGATGTATAGTTTGTATTTTCTATATTATATTCTTATGCATAAATCAGATTTTATACAAAATTATTATCAGTTTATTCGCATGTTTTCTGTGTTACACTTTCCTGGGTGTAAATAAGTTTAAGTTCTCTTTTAATTGACTTATCACCTAATAAGATAGTCATAATGATTGTTTACAGATAAATAACAAAAGTCCAATGTTGTCTTTTAATGACTAATGAAAAATGAAAAGGATGAATGTAAGTCTTCTAGAGTTATAGTGTTTATCATTCACAGCGCTTTATTTTAAATTTATGTGTACACCACATAACTTCCTTGTATGCTTGCTAAATTATTCACATTTTTGTCGCACTATATTTAAGCTTATTTCTTCGAATTATTCAAACTTAATTAACCGATGTGTCAAGGCAAATTGAAAATGACGTCAAAAATAGCAAATTTTGAAATTAATATCCCTGTTAACTTTTGTCGTACAGGAGTCAAACTTCCTCAACTTCTTGCATTTTTATCTTCTCATAACGAATATGAAACCTTCCGAAATATAAGTATAGGAACCAGGGCACCGCAATAAGAGTTAGGTTTCGTTATTTATCCAAAATTAATTTTTTTTTAATTTGAAATTGCCAAAACATTAATAATGTTATCATTTAAAACACTTCTGTAATTGGAGCTATATGTCTACCATCAACAGTTGCAAAAATAAAACTCAGTTAAGGACTTTTAAACTGGGTAAAGAGGTGAATATATATATATATATATATACATACTAGGTTGGCAAGAGAGTAAATTCGGTTTTTAATGTAAAATAAAACTCAGTTTTTTTGTATAAAACATAAACTTTAATGAGTCAAATATCTTCCACTCTGCTTGATGACCTTTTGCCATTTTTCTGGTAAATTCATGATTCCAAGGGCACAGAACTTCTGAATTTTCTCAGCAAAAACTCAACTAAGTGCGATTTGAGGTCATCATTGTTATTGAAATATTTACCATTTAAGAAGTTTTGTAAACTTCAAAATAAATTATAATCCGATGGCGCAAGCTCGGGGCTGTATGGGGGATGCGACATCACTTCCCAACCAAGCTCCAATAATTTTGTACGCATTGCTGAAGACGCGTGAGGGCTCGCATTGTCATGGTGAAACACAATTCGTTTGCTATTTGCCATTTCTAGCCTTTCCTTTTTTATTGCTTCCTACAGTTTCATAAGCTGTTGGCAGTAAACATCTGAGTTTATCGTTCGGTTGCTGAAAGCAGTTCAAATATGCAACTTTGTAATCCCGCCTAATTGACAAGCATAATCTTTTTCTTATGCAATTTAGATTTTGAAAAAAATTATGCTGATTCTTCATGCTTGGACCATGATCTTTTCCGATTAATGTTATTATAGATGATCCATTTTTCATCAACAGTGATAATTCGTTTAAAAAATGAGTGGATTGCATTACGCTTGAAATGCGTATTGAAAATATTGATTCTTTGTGTTATGTAAATTTCAATTCACGCGGAATCCAAATATCGAGCTTCTCAACGAGTCCGAGACGTCTTATGTGATTTTCTATTGCTGTGTGCAATACATTTAATTATTTTGCAAACTTTTGCGTAGTTATATGATGATTCGATTCGATTATGTCTTTAATTTTGTCATCATCAACTTCAGAAGGTCGGCCAAAACATGAAAATTTTCTAGAGCAAAAATTTTTAAAGCAATTCTGACACATGCGTTTTGTTAAGAAATCAACACCATAAACTTCACATATCTCTTCGAAGCCTCATTCGGCTTTCTTGCCTTATTGCAAACTGAAACTCTGAAATGTTAATTCTTAAGATGACTGTGATAAAACTAATAAAACTTGTAATAAACTTAGTTTAAAATCTGTATTGGTATGCAGCCAAAAACGCACATTTTAAAATAAAATAAAAAATAGCACATACATAAAATAAGGTAGAATAGTATATTATATAATAAAGTAAGTTATTGTTGATTTCTAGGAAGAAGGCTATTTTTCTTTGAACTAGCATCCCCCAAAAAATTCTGCAATAATTTGGATCGCGTTTCGTTTCCTTCTATATTTGAATGAATTCTTTCCTAATCGTGAAAAACTAATATATAAAACTTTGATTTAAATTAATAATTTTCAAATAGCCAAAGTTAATTCCTGAGACGATCAAAAAGGACCTATTTACCAAAAAGTTGTTTTAAAAACTGTTGTGTTTGAGCTATCAATTAAAATTTGGCATTGCATATAAATATACATATAAATAAATGTGAGATTATACAATTTAACTATTGCATAATTAAAATGTCTTAATTATCTAGATGTTATAGCAGTCCCATACATAAAATTGCAGCATTCTATGGCTAAACGCTTCGAGTTATGCGAGATACATACTTATATACGTACGTACAGATTTACATACATATGTACGTAAGTACAGACGTCACAAAATGTTCCATTTTAAATCCATTTTACAATCCGTTTTGAAATAAAGTATTCTTCATTCTGTCGGTACGTACGGAAGTCACGCAAAAAAATAGTCAAAATGGATATCGCCATTGAAATCCGAAACATGAAATTTTTCGCGATTACAATACTTCCTTTACGTCGTACAAGGAAGTAAAAATACATTTATTGTAAGGAAATACCAACAGGAAGAGCTATACTGTTGCTTTTGCAAACATTAATTATCAATAAAAGAAATGCACACAAGATTTAAGGAATGAAATTCAAGATGTAATTTTAAAGCGTTCTTTTAAATTACATTTTTCATTTCTTTTAAATTTCAACTTTCAAACATTTGTAGCCATATTTCTTGAAAGTATCAGAAATGCTGTAAAAGAAAAAGCAAACTAGGCACAATAAATAATTTCTGAATTCAGTTGTCGAAAAGGTGAGCACGAGTTTTAAAAATAACAACAAATATTTTACATTTGCTTGCGAAGAACTATTATTAAGAAATAATAATATGCATAGTATTCTTATTGCTTCCCATACATTTCAGTCACAATGATGAAATGAATGATTGGAAACTATGGTCCATAACCACGCAACTAGTTTTTGTCACATTTCAGTCACAATGATGAAATGAATGATTGAAAACTATGGTCCATAACCACGCAACTAGTTTTTGTTTTCATATCATAGAGCAGCGCTGTCCAACTTATCATAGCCCACGGGCCATATTTTCTTTACCAAACATTTCGGGGGCCAAGAAGGTTGATAAATGAAAAGTCAGTTTATTTTAATTAAAAAAATATTTTAGTTATACTAAAAAGCATTATTATGAATCAAAATTATTTGAAACTTTAAAAATTCCCGGTATGGTTCCACTATGTAGACGATACTTTTACCTTGTTTGAAGGTAATAAAGATGATTTAAATAAGGTTCTTTCAACAATGAATTCTATTGATCCTTCCATTCAGTTCACTTTTGAACTTGGTACATGCAATTCTTTTCCGTTCCTCGACATTCTGGTCACATGTAACACATCCAACTTCAGTACTACGGTTTACTGTAAATCTTCATCGGTTTGCTCCCACCCCACTTCAAATCATGTCATCCGACTAAACAAAAGGTAGCTTCATTTTATTACTATATTTTCATTGCACTTCAAGTTTGCTCCTCCAAACTTTCTCTTGATGATGAACTAAATTATTTAAAAGCAGTAGCTACTGACAGGGGCTTTTCAACCAACATTATTAATCAAGCAGTTAAAAAATTCTCATCTCAACACACCAAAAGGCACACTCTTGTTTTAGGAGATTATAAGAATTCTGTTGTCATTCCCTTGTTTCCATCAATTAGCTATAACATTACACGTATTTTACAGAAATTTAACTTTCGGGTCGTTTATTCTCCCATCAATAAAATTAAGAGTTCCATACTCAAGTACTTCATTCCGAATATGAATTCCTGGGGTATTTACAGGATTCCTTGCCAGTGCGGTTTAATTTACATTTATCAAACTAAAAGAGCCTTAAAATTTCGCGTTAAGGAACATGAGGCATAAATTAGAAAAAAGGAAACACGCGATCGATAAAGTCATCTGTTGCCCAGCATTGTTGGTCCGAAAATCACACTTTCAATTTTTCTGCAGCGAAAATTATTTAAAAAACAACTTTTTTGGGGGAATTATAATTTCTAGAGGCATTTCCCATTCAAAAAAAGGTTTCTAGTTAACGCTCCCAACTCCAATCCATCTTTGCTTTCAGCCTTTAAGGAAATTATGTTTTAGTTCTCGTTTCATCAATAGATGGCGGCAGTAGCTTAACTCCTGTCAAGTCATTCTTATCTTACCTTATCTAATCACTATATCACCTCGTCCATTTGCGCTTTGACAGCTGAGTATGATGGTTCGTTAAAACCATCGAAACTGGTCCTGTGAAAATTTGAAAATATAACATTGATTTTCTTTGGTTGATTTTTAAATTAATACTTGTTCGGCGTGTTATTGTATCTTAATGATTATCTTGGTTTGTATTACGGCTGCTTATAGAAATGGCTTATTGACCATTTGTAATAATATTTGTATAATACAAATGGCGAATAAGCCATCTGTATGATGACCGATTATACAGTGGCTGCCTCAGATTGTTCTTGTTCTTGACGCAATAACATTTTAGTTTCTCATAAGCCTAGCATTTGCATTATTTGCGAAATATTTGATAAAACTTCAGTGAATATATTAAAGTAATGCTTCCTATCTGTACAAGTTTTTATTATTATTATTATTTCCATCGATTAAAAACTCATATAAAACTTTTCATTTTCATACATTAGTAGGAATTGATCATCGCAGAACTCTTTTCTAAGAAATCCTATCTTTACGGATAAAGCTGGGATTCTTTTGAAATATTTGGTTTAAGATTAGTTATTTTATTGCAGTTTTAGTTTATGTTCCCCCACGATAATATTGAGTATTTTATATAGTATATTCTAACCTGTATCAAAGCCTTGGACGATATTATTGAAGACTCTTCCACCGTTTCTTTCAAACGGGTCTAGATGATCATGCTTGTAATCCTTTTGACCTCTGACCGAAGTCAAACAGATTAAAACAATCACGGAAACTGAAAAAAAAGTAATAGTTATTAATCAGAATGAGATAGAGTAGCATAACATTAACTTTAATTTGATAGTAAAACTGTATTTCCTAGCGTGTTTTTCCTGTTGGTTTACTAATTTTATAGTCCGAAAATCGAGAGAGGGAATTATGTGAATAACTTAATTTCCGAAGAAAGCGGTTGCGGCAAGGACATAACAAGTAAAAAATACTCATGGATAAACTACAGTTAAATATCAGTATGGGGGGTTATTTCTGTAAAAGAAGCTTACATTCTAATAAGAACACAGGGTAATATTAACCTTACAATATGTAATAAGATATCTTCCTTTCTACTTACCTATAACTTGAATCCCGCCCTTTCTAATTGGTGTGCGTGCTACTCCTTAGGCCTCAAATAATCATAAATAATTAGAGAAATTTAATGTGCAGCTGACTGAGCGAAATAGTAGACTGAATGTTAGTTCGTGTTTGCTTCAATATTGATGGGTCTGTACTTGTATAAAGCTGACCCATCAATCAACAGTTCCAAGAGAAAGGTCAGCGTGACTTTCGCAGCTAGTTTGCGGGGTTTATCTTTGTTAGTATGCGGGCAATCGTGGTCGAATACATGTTAAAGGCTAGAATTCATTCGCTGAATGCATTAAGGAAAGGGGAAATTACATAACTGGTTTTAAAATTTTCTGTACCTAACGCTGAAAAGCTAGGAAATACTCAAGGAAATACGGTAATTCCAATTCGAATACCAATATTAAAAAATTTCATTAATGTATATTAGGATCAAATCAAATAAAAATAATATTTTTTTTTCAATTATTTAACATATAATATCATTTTTGCCATCGAATATTTGTAAATCCTTTTAAAGTCAAACATACGTTGTCGCTCGAGTTTTAGTAAAAATCTTGTTAAAAATTCTCCGATTATATACGGAAGTATATGGTAGGATATAAGTTCGGAAAAAGTTATTTTAGGTAACCTAATAATTTTTAAGCAGTGCTTTGTTTTATAACTTATTATTTTATGTTTTATAGTTACTCATATTAAAAACATTAAACACTTATTTAAAATGTAATAGGAACACAGCTATATATATATATATATTTAAAAACGAAAGACCTTTAAGCATTACAGATTAGATAATAATAATATTAATAAGTAAGATTATTGTTCACATATTTGCAAGTCAGATGAAATCGTTTCTGCTGTTTGTTAAAAGCTGCGGTTTGTTTTTTGTTTAGCTAATCAGTTATCAAGATTTGCTTGCTATGAATGTAAAACTTGCTAATCTCCTGGAACAATGGAATATATCAGTTATCAAGATTTGCTAGCTATGCATATAAAACTCGCTAATCTGCTGGAACAACGGAATATTTTCAATTAAATTGGTGTATTTCAGCAATGACAAAATGAGTTAGGTATATCTGATTGAACAAAGGCATGCGGTTGTAGTGGATTTTATAAGATGAATTGGTTTGGATTTAAAACGCATACGCAAGAAAGGCATTGAAACTCACTGAATACGCAAGAAAGGCATTGAAACTCACTGAATACGCAAGAAAGGCATTGCGTTCAACCACTAGGAATAGATCGCAGTTTTAGCCATTCAGGAACTGAAGGGTACAATAAAGGATTTATATCACTAAAAATTTAATCACAGTACTTATATATTTGGTTATCCTATACTTACTACTGTATTTCCTCGCGTGCTTTTCCCCTTAGCAATATAGAGCTAGGCACTGAATATTAAATTTAAAAATATTCTCATAAATTTCCCCTCTTTCTCTCTGTTGTACAGATTTTTTTCCTCTGAAGGCTAGTTTATTGGCAAATTGTATTCCCTTGATTACTTTTATTGATATTCAATGTATTCAATTTGTATCTGCATTTCTGTATTAGCAATACATCAACTTTATTTTCTCTCGAATTTATTATTTTAGTACCTTGTGTAGATTTTTTTTTTTTTTTTTTTTTTTTTTGTTAACCTTTTGAGGCCGGGGCTTTGGTAGAAGTAAAAGCCTTGAAAGAACGAGGAATCTTGAACCCAATGCTGTCCTCCTTTTAAGAAATCACCTCCTATTTGCAACAAAGATTCTTGCGTGTAGTTTAATGGAGGTGCATCTACTATGTCGCAAATCAGAGGGGTGCATCTATGTCGCAAAAGGAAGGAAAGTGTAGGGATTAGTGACCAGACTTCAACATGCTTTTCGTCACTGAGGGAAAATTTCATAATACAGATGTTCCGGATTGAGACTACTGGGAATTTTTGAAGAAAATGCCTCCGTTGAAGAAAATGTCATTCTTTATATTATAGAACGTTACTTTCGTTTTTATAAAATTTTGGCTTTAATTTTAAATTACACTACACAACTATGCGTCTTTACTAAGTGCTTACAATAATTATTTCTATCTTATCTTTATGTTAATGTTATGTCAAAAAAATATTTTAACTATTTGACTATTTTCTTGGACAATTTAAAATTTCACCAGTCTTCATCTCAGTCTTTTTTTTTTTTTTTACTGTTAAATGTCCTTATAATTTTAAATTTGTTTTGGTATATAATTATCAAATATAGCTATATCTTTGAACTTTCTTCCATAAAGGGAATAATTAAACAATAAACGCATAAAGCTATAGAAATTATTAAAAATTAAAGTTCAGCGGAACTGTTAAAATTATGCTCTAAAGGCGTAATGAAATTTTAATTTTACATAATTGTTCAAAATCTGCTTGATAACATACTATTTAAGGAGTAAACTTTCAGCAAATTAGAATATAACTGGTTTAATTAAAAATAATTTTATTTTGCTGTAGACTGTTAATACTGCAATGTCCAACTACATATGTGCTACTAATTAAAATTCAGTTCTTTTAAAAAATTAATGCATAATAAAACAGACGCTCAAACACTATTTTTTTAGAATATTTTAGTTTTAAAAATTTGAAAAAAAATAGATTATTTAATCATGTACCGTTTTATACTGTTTATTGAAAATTAGTAAGTGGTATATTTCAAGTATTAATAATAGAATGAATTTAAGTCATTAAAAATGCTAAATTATTATTAAGTATGCAAAACCATAATTAAAAACGTAAATTCCATTTGTCTAAAACTAAATTCCCAGCCTCACTAAGGGAACGTGTTCACTCGGGTATCAAAATTTAGGTAATTTCTTAGTGCAAAGAGTTTTTGAAATTGAAGGGAAAATTGTTTGTTATGCTTAGTGTCTGCAAAAACTGTGGGACAAAGGTTACACGATAATTAGTTGTTGTCTTCAATACTGTATTATGTTATTCTATATTATGCTTCATAATTTAGCTCATTAAGAGAAATTTCCAGATCATTTTTCTAGAGAATTTTCTAATAGAATTTTTCTATTTCCTCTATTGTTTAAACCAGTTCGTTTCAACTCCGGACTATCTTTGTAGCAGCTTTGACATCAACCATTGCGGCATATTTTATATGATGGAATTTAAATTCTACGATACATTAAGCGATTATCTTTACTTGCAGTTACTCAAAAAATCTTCATTGTCAGATCATGCGAAATCTATACTGACACAGTTGAAATAACTGTTTTTCTCTTTTTTATTGAAAATTTGGCAGCTATTCATTGGTTTCATTAACACCTCGGTCATTATGCTGTCGCATCGACACTATTTCATAACTGAGTGCCCACGATATGCCCCCAGGAATTTGTCCTTGAACGCAGTTGCTGAGATATATGTCTAATGAATGACAAAGGCATTCAATCACTTAAAAGGTCAAGGTTCAGAAATTCAGATGGGGAACATGTGTTGTCTTAGAACAATTATTTGTACATTATTTGAGAGCTTTTACATCCTGTTTGCATTCTCGGAGCTCAACAAACAGTGAAATTTCACAAATGCTACTCCAATCCATTTTGAATATCTTACTTCAAAATTATTTGACCGTGAAATCGAGACACTGATACTGAGGTACCTTTTAAAATAACAGAATATCAGTACATCTGGAATCTAACGGCTAGAGATGACCTTTCAAACTGATTGACTAGTTTTAGTGTATTTACGATTTCCAGGTTTCAGACTGAAATTTTAAAACTACTGTTGTTTCCCTGACGCAAAATTTATATTTATGTATGTTCTTGTGATTTGTTTGAATAACAGTACCATCACAATAAACTTCCGTGTGTGAAGGTCACTTCAGCATAAAACAGATATATATGAAAATAAAGACAGACAGAAAACTGTTAAAAATGAACTGGTAAGAATGTAAGACAAAGTACATGTATACAAGCACGTGGGAATTTATATTTGTTTATGGAAATGTATACCTACATATCCGTGTAGTATGTATATCTGCATTGATATAATATGGTATAAGTGCAGATATGCACATAAAGCGGAAAGCATGCGTACCCTTAAATGGGAATAACGTATATACAGACAAGTACATGTACACACACCAGGCACACATATGCATTTATATATATGTGGTTTGCGTGTGGATTTATGCATACGTGTATAAACATATAGATATATGTATGTGTATATATTTCATCATCAAGCTCTTGAAAAAGGTTCGTATTTCTTCTTCAGTAAGATCTCTTTTCCTTTTCGACATATTGCTATAAAAATGTAAAAATAATTCCTAAAAAACTTACGAAAATATGCAACATTTTAAAGCAACGCAAGGCTCTGTTTACAATTTACAAACGCAGTTATCGCGAAATCTGTAGCTATGTAGCTACAAGAACTAAAAGGGAAAAATTGAGGAAAACCAGGTTCTTAACACAAAGACCTTTGGAAGAGATAAGGGATTAAAACCTCAGGGACGTCAAATTTGACATTTCATCCAACTCTTTCAGCCTGGAAAATGGGGGAAAAAGACATGGCCACTAAAGTGCACAACCCAGTCCTTTCAAAGAGAGGACTCTGTGGCTGCTATAATGGCTATCCCGTCTTCAAAAGGTTAAGCTACAGGACGTGACAAGTATCCTCACACTCAAATAACTTTCGAAACATATGAATTTCACCTTCATATGTTTCGAAACGCTGTTTTCATATATAAACGCTGTATGAATATGTATGGGCCTGTGTATGTATGTATGTGCATGTATGTGTATATGTATACACACACATATATTCATGCTTACATAATATACATTGCATACGTGAACACATACATGCATACATTTCTGAATCCGGTCCTGATAACAGAACAATACCCGGAAACTTTTATATACTTTTATATGAAGATTTCGAACGCTGTTTCAGTTTTATTTTATTCTTCATTTTGAGAAACTATCTTAATTGAAAAATTATCTTCGAAAACTATTTTAAGCAACAATGAACTTTTTTGTACAATATTGTGATATATCTAGTAATTTCTAAATGTAATTATCTGTGTGTAATTGAGAACAATCTAATTTATAAAAGATAATTATAATTTATGAGTCATCGGGATATACGTCAGCTTTTAATGTGCCACGATTAATATTCTTGTCTGGAAAAGCTTATATACGTATTCAATGTCAGAATATTCATATAAAAATCTTTAGCGTCAAAATATAAAGGGATTAATATAAAACTAAATATAAAGGGTAAACATAAGACTGTAAATCTGTAATTACCTTATGATTAATATATGCAAGACTGTAGATTAAAAAGTTAAAATTGTTAAGTTATAAAACTGTAATGTTGAAATCTCTTGTTCCATTGTTCTAATGCTGTTAAATCTGAAGCATTTACTGCATTCAAGACAAAAATGTAGAAGAGAAAAGCAAGTAAATTTATTCTTACTTGTGTAATAATCACAAAACTTGGAAATTATAACTATTCCAAAGCTTAACTGAACATATTTTCGGCTTTACTAATCAAAATCAATTAAAAAAGCAAAATGTAAAAAATATTTACTTCCACACACTTACCACATAGAAATCTCTGTGAATACATAGTCTGCGAAGCCAGTATTTGATTTACTTTAAATACGTTTCAGATGTACTTAAAGAAACAAAGAGAGCAACTAAGAGATTGAGCCTTAGAAACAATACCTTTTAATCCTTTTTAGTAAGATATGAAACTACTGCTACCAATTTTTATCATCTTCAAACTGATAAACTATTAGTTTCTAATGAAGTGCAATGTTTTAAAGAGAAAATATTTGCGATTTTACTTATCCATAAAGAACTAATATTAATAAGCTGTTATTATCTTCTAAAGCCTAAAATGCTTGCACAACAAAATGAACAATTTTTTCATTTGAAGTTGAATTAAGCACTTTATTCGAAAAGCGAATGAAGTTTGTCACGTCTTAACAGAAATGCTTTATTATTTTGCGTCGTTGCTATTGTTATTCAGTTTCAGATGTTGTTTTATCAGAGTTTGGCTTTGATTGTTATACCTTGTAGAAGATAAAGGTTTTCGTATTTTTGTTTCAAAACACATTGCCGCTGAAGTATGGGTTGTGTTAGATATGAGAGTACAAGGATGTCAGATTTAGAGACTCTTTCAATTTGTTTTAACTGAACAAGAACCAACAAGATGCAAGAACACCAAATTTATAATCCGCGGAGCTGCAGTAATTATAAATCTCTAACTAAATATTCTACTAGTGTAAAATACTTTTGCCATTTTAGGTTTTCTTATGATTCTCGAATGAAAGATACCAGAAGTAATATAAACATAACTTTTAATAAAACTTCAAAGCAACTGTATACATACTACATATTGTTAAGGTAAATAAGTTTTAAAGGTTTAAAGCATGTTGGTCTCATTTTCCAAAAGATACCGCTACTAAAGTTTTCAGGAAAAGTATACTGTAAAGACTAATTGCTCGATTGGAGGATAAGAATTCGAATACACTCACAGAAAAGCAACTTAGAAGAACTTTAAACGTAACCTTCACATTCAAACATTTAACTGAGTTTCATTGCGTCACATATCGCAGCTTCGGCATGTGTGTAGAGAGGGATCAAGGAAGTTTTCAAATTATTTCCAAACGATGATACCGAATCTCAAAACGCCTCTTAATACCAAAGTACTCTCAGTCTGGTGACATTTTGCTAAATGCTGCCAAACTAAATGCAGGTTTTACTACTCTATACGCAAAAGAACAATATATAATATTCTGTGCTATAACTTGACATAATAACCACGTATATATATGTCAAATAAATATACTAAATGATCAAGTGCCTCTAAGTGATTTTGATCACAGTTATACCAAAGCAAGGCAGATAAACCGTTCTATGTGTGAAGCAAAAATAAGACCTAGAGTTGGAAACAACACAGTTGTATAAGGGCAACAGTATCAAAGGCCGTAACAAGTACATCAACAATAAGTATACCAGCATCCACTGTGCAAACTGTAACTATTCGATCGTCAATTACTACCAGGATCGACGTGGAATAGCAAGTATAAGTAAATGGAGGGCAACAATATTCTAAATCACATAAAGTTTCATTATCAAAGTCTAGGTGAACGACAGGAACAACATGTGACAGCATAAGCTGAAGGACCTAGGTTGTAGTCAGTATCTTACATGTGTACACTGCTGACTGACAGGTACCTGGCACAGGAAGCATCAAATTTATAAAGCTGTGCAGTCAAATAGATCGCCTTTTCTGCCTGAATAGGCTGCGGAGAGAATAAATATGTGATATCGACAGAATGAGGCCATGGGCCCATTCTACTAAGTTGCATCTGTTAAAGAGGGTTGTGGTTCTGTGGTGATATCAGAAACACTTTTTATTATGTACAAAAATTCTTTTAATGCATTTAGTTAAGTCTTGAATACTTTGCTTTTATAGAACAGCTTATTAATCACCTACATCCTTATACAGTATCCCGCAACTGAGAGATGCATTTCGCTTTAGCGGGGCACTGCACAGTCATGCAGGTATGCTTGAGGAAAATACGTTTTCGAGTTTTAGATTGTCTAACAGCTCCTAAAGCCCTGGATTTATCCTTATTGACAAACTCTGTAATAATGTTAAGCAAAGTATCACATTTATGAACAGGAAGAATCTACGATGTAGTTAGAGCAATATTGCATAAAGGCGTTGTAGAGACATTAGGATAATTGTAGAGGCAGAAAAGCTGGAAAATAGCAAACGCCTTCGCCGGGAATCGAACCACGGACCTCTGGAATACCGGCCCAGCGTGCAGAACCACTACACCACGAAGGCACGCTAGGACAGCGGGAGAAATACCTCATAGCGTGACCTGGAATTCCTTCTGCAAAATTTGAGTAATTAATGAAATCAATGGGTGGATAACGCAGGCTAGCATTCTTGCTAGAGTAATACTGTTATGCTATTGAATAGGTATCTAAACATTTTAGTCATTCACCACAATTACAGATATTTGCATAAATTTATAACACCACTTCCATCTCAGGCACTACATATTCCATGCAATACAACTCGAAGAATTCGGAATATTACACTATGTTATTATTAACATCATATTGAAACTTCATCTGTTCAGTAGCTTTTCTAACGTTTCTCCTTGGAAATGTTCAGCTACTATAGGAATTGTATATATTTTGCCAACATATTTTTCTAGCAGAACTTTTTCCTCATCATACTTAGCCCACTGTTTTTTATTATTCCCTCCGTCCAAAATTATGGTATACATTTGCAATTAATTTTTGTTCGAAATTGTGGTATACTTTGCAACTACAATAAGCACTTAAGTGTCTAAATGCCTTAAATGTGTGACCATGGTTTATCGCCATTAGACTCCATCAGAAGGTCATCAGTAAGGCCTAAGAATCACAAAAAACTTAAGCTAGCAGTTAAAGCGAACTTTATTTAATATTAAAAAAAAAAAAAGAGGAAAACACATCTTGCTAGAATTTAAATATTCAAATAGTGCACGGGAGACGACGCCAGATATCAGGACGAACAGGCAAAATATAGCAAGCAATAAGTAGTATGGTTCGGAGAAAAGTTCAAATTTTTATCCTCGCGCTATGGCGAGCACATATGTATATTGCGCAACAAAGAATTTTGTTGCCCCTCAGTGCAATGAAGATTTCCGCCATAAGTGTATAAATGGAGTTCAGTTGATGTGAGAACTAACCTTTTCCAGGGCCTCTTGTGAAGATACTAAAGTAGCTGGTAACCCTTCTTTACGACGAAGCTTGTCATTATTAATATAAGGAATCATACAAGAATTTCTTTTTCCCACTAACATAGTTGATTTCATGCATGTTTGAGATGTCATAAAAACATTATTATGTGCTCCTCTGTCTGATTCGTTCAAGGCGTTTTCGACAAATAAGATTTGTTCGTCAACTGCAATGTCATTGGCAAGTCTTCAGTTACAACTTTCTTATAATACCACGTAACTTTGTTAACGTTTATGATGCTGACATAATCGAATTCTAGTCAATTATGTCTCAGTTGTTTGAGTAGAATTTGAATTTACACATAAGAGCACTTGATTATAATTAATTACTTAACTTGAATATTTGCGAACTTGAGTATTTCCTCTAGAATTGTGATTTTCTTTGAAGTTAAAAGATGTTCAATATTTGCATGTATTTTATTTGTAAAGTATAAAAGAATGGCTAAAGTACTGTATCTGTCAAGAAAAGCACAAAATTTGGGGTAAAAATATTCAACAGTCTATTACAATTGATAATCGCATTGTTCACCCTCGATATATCGGGAAAAAAATATTTTTAATGTGTAAAAATTGATCTTCTTTCCTTAAATACTATCTCCGGAAATACAGAGCTTCAAATGCCATCACAGCAGCAAATGATAAATAAAATTTGATTGAATTGGATTAAGTGGTCTTCACATGGTGAAAGCCATTCAGATAAAATTTTCATGTCGACGATTTGCAATGAATCCTACCTTACTAATGAAAAAATTGTACGATATCTTCTTGATATTGATGAAACGTTGCTTTTTTAAACATAACAAAGCTCATGAATATTTCGGAAAATATAACCTCAGTGCATGATGATGATGATAAAATATTCAGAGCGTACAGCATTCTTCTGTAAATGATTTACTTGCAGATTCCTAGATTCTAAAAAGCAAGTAATTCTTCTAATGAAGATATTAAGGGAGAATAACTGCATATAGGACTAAAGCATACAAAAAATAAAACTCAGCACTGTGAATTTTTTTTTCTAAGCAGGAAAAGAATGCAAGCTGATATTTCTCATGAATTAGTAATTTGAAAAGGGAGATAATTCAGAATCCAGAATGTCAACTAAAATGTTATCAGTATCCAGAATATCATCAAAATAATTTATCACGAATGATTTTTAGCAAAGGATTAACTTTCGCTCGTGTTAGTAATAAATAGTTATTATTTTTATATCAAAATGAAATCAAAAAAGAAATTACTAAATGTCATATTTTTATTGAACAAAATTTTAATTAATTTACGATTTATTTATTTTGGAAAAATATGTTGTCAAAATATATCTATTAGTTAAGATCCATTATTAAACCATTAGTTTAATCATTTTAATTTAATATTTTTATAATTTATTAACTAAGCTAATAAATTATAAAATTAATTTAAGTCCTCAGTTATTTAAAATTTTAATTGAATAGCATATCAACAATTTAATAAGTAATTTTATAATTTAATTTTTTATATACTTTTCAAAGATGAACATTGAATAAGATGTTCTTTTATACCGGTTGCTAGGAGGTCGCTATGAGTAGAGTCAGCTGTACATGTATTTGCTATAACTTTCAGGATCTAAATATAGTATTCAATAATCCAAATCCGTCAAAAAGGAGAGATTACTAATTGTTCAGTTCTACGGTAACATTTAGTTTTCATAGAGAAAAATTATTATTCATTTATACTGGACTTACCAAGAAGCTTTATTTTGAAATTTTCTGGTCTGCATTCTTTACTGAAAATATGTGTTATTTTATTCATTCTGCCACTCGTGCCCTATCTTTTTTCCTGTCCAACTCCACCAACTGTTTAGCGTAGTTGAGTCGTGCGATAACTTTTCAAGAATATTTAATTTCTTCTGAGGCTCATTCACTATCAGAAATTTGCGATAAGCACCTGTTGTTGAACGATGTATTTCTTCTTTAGT